TGGGAGTCCAGCACCTTAACCCCCAGGCCACCTTCTGGCCCACTTACCTATGTTTTCCCCCACCTTGCATCTCAGACCTGGGCAGCTGCTAATCTACTTTCTGTCTCTCTAAACTTACCTACTCTGCAAATTTTATATAACTAAGATCATACAATTTGTGGTCCCTTGTCTCTGTTTTATTTAAGTAGAATTATATAATATGTGGTTTCTTTTGCTTAACATGGTATTTCAAGGTTCATTCATGTTGTAACACGTGTTCTGCAGTAATGGTTTAGAACAGTGCTGTCCAATGTGGTAGCCACTAGCCGCATGTGGCTACTGGTTATGTGACAGTCTGAACTAGAGGTGTGCTGTAGGTATAAAACATAGATGTTTGGGACCAGCAGATGGCGTAATGGTTACACCACTTGACCATGGTTTCAGTCCTGGACCAGGCAGCTTGAAACTCATGCTGGGGTTATGTGTGTGCTTGTCCGAAATTCTGAGAGGAGAGTGGAGGAGAAGGGATTGAGGTGTGGCCATCCCCCCAGGGGGTGATTTCTTGCTCTCTCTCTCTCTCTCTCTCTGGCAAATATCTCTCCCTAAAAAAAAAAAAAAAATAGATGTTTAAGACTACTAAAGTACAAAAAAATGTAAAATATTTCAATTTCTAAAAATCGATTACATGTTGAGTTTTAAACATATTATTAAAATTAACATTATTTGTTTGTCTCTATTGTTTTTTAAATGTGCCTACTAGTACATTTAAAATGATACATCTGGTTCACATACGTAGCTCACATTATGTTTTTATGGAATCCTCCCATGTTTTCCTAAAGCCATAGAAATAATCCCTGGAACTCACAACGCTCTCAACAAATACCGGCTGAATGCTTTAAACTGGGCTGCCTGAGAGGTTCTTTAGACTAAGAACTGGAAGTGTTTGGTCACTTAAACAAAACACTGAGTATCTAATTAGGCCTTAGGAGAAGAGAAAGTGATGGAAGTGTGTGAGGCTGTGGATTCGCTTGAGGCGCTGTTGGACCCCAGCTGTATTTACACTCTGCTCAATGAATAAACACCACCACTTTAATCCGGTGGACTCAAAAGTTTATTTCTTTCAAAACACCATTCCCAAAGCGCAAGCACTGGTTTCATGGTCCGTTTTAGGGAGGCAGAGCCACGTGATTCTTCAAATACCGTTTGTTCATACAGCTTGAACTGTGGAACTCCCTGACCTGAATGGTTGCCTCTCATTTAGAAGCTGCTTCAGAGATATATTTTGTTTCAACTGGGGAAGTGAGGAAAACAAAGGAGTTAAAAGAGTTTAATAAACTGTATAATAGGCTTGCGTTTTAAAAATAGTTCTTCAGAAATGGTCTTGATCGCTTTGATTTTCTGCAATGGGCAAATTACTCCCTCCCTTTTCCCTCCAAAGAGTGCCTTGGCATAGTCGCCAGCGATACTGACGTGCCAAGCCATTTAAGTGTTTTTGACACCACTTGTGAACAATTTTAGTACTCCATTCCTGGGGCAGTTCAACATTTTTAAATGAAATTCAAGTGGGTAACTTGTAGAGAAAAGAAAAGAAAAGAAAAGAAAAGAAAAGAAAAGAAAAGAAAAGAAAAGAAAAGAAAAGAAAAGAAAAGAAAAGAAAAGAAAAGAAAAGAAAATAATAAATTAAATTTTTTTTTTTTTTTTTTTTTTTTTTTTTAGGTTTTTGCTATAGGACACATTCACTCACTGGAGAGAGACAGAGAGGCAGAGAGAGAGGAAAGTGAGAATTACCCCCCAGAGGGTATGGTCATGCCACAGTCCTGTCTCTTCCATTCTCCTCTCAAGATTTTGGGCGCATATGCACTCGCACCTGGCATGATTTTCAAGCTGCCCTGTCTGGAACGCGAACCATGGTCAGCCATGAGGGACTCTAGCACCTTAACCACTATACCACCTGTTGGCCCCTCCAAATATATACCTTTTAAGAGAAAACAGTGAATTATTTAGTAAGGAGTGTCTATAAGCATATACAATGTAAAATGTTCTCATTCCTTTATGACCAGACACAAACGGTCTATGTCAATTTTCTTCTAGGAGGTGTTGGGGAAGTACAGTTGGCAGTGCACTGAGATGCACTATGACTTCTTGGGTTAGCACTGGTAGAAATGGAGTAAACAACACCTTGTCCAGGATTAACATGGGCATGGCCAGTGGTCCTTTTCAGTCCAAAATTTAGTTCCTCCAGGTTAAAAAAACATCTAAAAATTACTGAATAAGGCCTAGCTGTGGTGGTGCAGGTGATAGGGATGCCGCTGTGCAACATTGGAGCCACATGAAAAGGTTCTGGGTTGACCTGAACATACAAGGGATGTTTTCAGGAACGCCAATGATTGTGGCTGGCAGGAAAGCTGAGGGCTGGGAAGGGATAATGGTGTGACAATACCTTGTCAGGGGCTTCTGTCTCTTTCTTTCAATAAATTAATGAAGTATACTTAAAACATGTCTTACAGGGATCGGCAGATGACATAATATAACGGTTATGTCACTGGACTCCCACATAGTCAACCGTGGTTCAAGTCCCAGCCCAGCAACTCACGCTGGGCATGTGTGCGTGCGTGCCCAAAATCCCAAGAGGAGAACAGAGGAGAAGGGATTGCAGCGTAACCATCCCGTCTGGGGGGTGATTTCTCCCTTTCTGTCTCTTTGTTTCTCTTTGTCTCTCCAGTAAGCGTACGCACCCTATAGGAAAAACCTCTCTCTCTAAAAAAAAGAAAAGTCTTAGAGAGCCAGCAGGTGGTGTGGTGGCTAAGGTGTTAGACTCCCACATGACTGACTGAGGTTCAAGTCTTGGACCCAGTAGCTTGAAAATCATGCTGGGTGCTTGTGTGTGCCCAAAATCCCAAGAGAAAAACAGAGGATAAGAAATTTTGACATGCCATTCCCCTCTGAAGTCAATCTCCTGTGTGACTACATGTGCCCTGTAGCAAGAAAAAAAAAATCTAAAAAAAACAAAACCTTATGAGGGCTGTCAGATGGCGTGACTCTCACATGGCAGTCCCAAACCTGGAGGCTTGCTTTTCTACTTTCTCTTACTCTCTGTCTCTCTCTGGTCAAATTAAACAAATAATAATGATGATAATTTGAAAAAATGGAATAAAAGTAATTCTAAAAAAGGAAAAAAAAACATTACAGAATAAATGTACTACTTAAGATTAGCCACAGAAATGATTCCTGTAATTTGGAGAAAAAAATAGGAGAGAAGGTTTTTGTTGTTGTTGTTAGTTTTTGCTATACGATACGTGTGCTCACCAGAGAAAAACTGAGGAGGGGGGTGAGAAACCGCACCCCAGGGAGGAGGATGATGCTGTGGAATCTCCTCCATTCTCCTTCTCAGATTTTGGGCATGTACACCCATGTGCCCAACATGATTCTTAAGCTGCCAGGTCTGGGACTCGAACTGTGAAGCTGGCATGTAGGAATTTAGCACCTTAATCTCCATACCACCTGCTGGCTCAAAGGTAATGTTTTTTGGTGGTACTTTAATAGCTTAAAAATAAAGGTATTTAAAGTTCTTACAATAAGAAAACAAGAAATCTTGAGACCAGCAGATGGAGTAATGGTTACGTCACTGGACTCCTACATAGTCCACTGTGATTTGAGTCCTGGAACCAGTGGCTTAAAACTCACACTGGAGGACCAGCAGACGACGTAATGATTATGTCACTAGACTCCCATGTAGTTGATATTGGTTTAAGTCCTGGACCTAGTGGCTTAAACTCGCACTGGGTACATTTGCATGCGTGCGCAAGATCCTAAGAATGGAGAAGGGATTGCAGCATGGTCATCCCCCCTAGGGGGTGATTTCTTGTTTTCTGTCTCTCTGTCTCTCCAGCGAGCACATGTGCCCTATAGCAAAATCTTTCTCTAAAAAAAAAAAAAAAGAAAAAAAAAAAACAAAAACCAAAAATCTTATGCTGGGTACATGTTCATACATGCCCAAAATCCCAAGAGGAGAATGGAGGAGAAGGGACTGCAGTGTGGCCATCTCACCTGGGGCGTGATTTCTCACTTTCTGTCTTTCTGGCAAGTGCGTGTGCTCTATAGTAAAAATCTCTCTAAAAAAAGAAAACAAGAAGTTTCTTAGAAAATAGAGATGTGACGGCAAAGGAAATGTTCTTTGGTTTGGAGGACATTTTGAATGTTGTGTACATAACAGATACAATGAGAAGTATTATTCTTGATGAATCTTTCAGATTTTAACTCTCAGACACTGTGTACATAGCAAATTCTACAATTTCTAAAGTTTTCTCCTTTTAAAATTTAACAACAAAAACAAGAAGCAGCTTAAAGTAGGATTTTTTAAGAGCTAGGAGGTTCTCTTGATGCTTAGTAAATTAGTAAATTCTTTCTTCTGGGGACCAGCAGTTGGTGTAATGGCTATGTCGCTGGATTCCCACGTGTCAACCATGGTTTGAGTCCTGGACCTGGTGGCTTAAACTCACGCCAGGCACGTGTGCATGCATGCCCAAGATCCCGAGAGGAGAATGGAGGAGAAGAGATTGTGGCATGGCCATTCTCCCCGGGGGATGATTTCTCACTGTCTGTCTCTCTGTCTCTCTCTGTCTTTCTGGCGAGTACATGCTCCCTATAGCAAAAAACCTCTAAAAAAAAAAAAAAAAAGAAAGAAAAGAAAGAAAGAACATGCAATTCCAGTGTATTGTTTATTACTTTCACTCACTCATCACATTTGCTCATTAAGAGGGTCATTGAGGCAACCAATATATAGGACACAATGATTAGTAAGGTAAAGCCTATGTTATCGATTACTATTCTTTTCTTTTTAAAAAAATATTATTTATTTAACTTTATTTATTATAACTTCTTAGAATTTGGCAAGAGAGAAAGAAAGGGAAAGTAAGAAAGCAAGCCACCAGGTCTGAGTCTTGAACCAGTCAGCCATGTGGGAGTCCACCACCGTAACCACCACACCACCTGATTACTGTTGGAAGAGAAGAATGTCTTACCTGCAGCAAAGGCATCAGCTGCAAACCCAGAGCTTGTTCATAGAGCAAGTTCAGTTCTGCACAACTGGAGAAGGAGAGTTTGGAGGTATAGAGGTAATAGTGCACATGCCTAAAGGTGGAGCCATCTCTGTCGATGAAGAGCCTCTGGCTTTCTGAAGAGGTCAAGGCCGAGGCCTCTTTCCAGAGAAGGGAGTCTGGGAACTGAGCAAGTTTGCTTCTGGGAACTGAGAAATGCCAGCCCCCCACATTGAAATGAAACAAATCCTCTGCTGATTCATGAGGTATGCCAGGTTCTTCCTGAAAGGAAAATGAAAAAGAGCTAAGAAATAAAAAGCATCTAGATTGGAAAGGAAGAAATAAAGTTATCTTTACTGGGGCCAGCAGATGGTGTAGTGGTTATGTCACTGGACTCCCACATGGCTGACTGCAGTTCGAGTACTGGACCTGGTGGCTTAAACTCATGCCAGGTGCTTGTACGTGCGTGCCCAAGATCTCGAGCAGAGAATGGAGGAGAAGGGATTGCGGCGCGGCCATCCCTCCTCAGGGGTAATTTCTCACTTTCTGCCTCTCTGTTTTTTGTCTTTTTTTCGAGGGCATGGGCCCTAAAAGAAAAACCCCCCCAAAAAAAAAAAAAAAAAATTAACAGTGGTCAATAGTATATAAAATTTTACCTGGAAAAGATCCATAAAACAATATTGAATTCTGGTTAAAATTTTGCATTCTTTCTAAAAACAAAAAATGCACACCACCGTGATGTGCCAGTATCTATAATTTATTTTGAAATGAATAAAAAAATGAGATGGAGGGGCTAGCAGGTGATGTGGTGGTTAGGGAGCTGGATTCTCACATGGCAGATCATGGTTTGAGTACTGGATCCAGAGGGTTGAAAATCACACTAGGCATATGTGCGTGCATGCCCAAAATCCCAAGAGGAGAATGGAGGAGAAGGGACTATGGCGTGGCCATTCCCCCGGGGGCTGATTTCTTGCTTTTCGTCTGTTTCTCTGGTGAGTGTACGTGTCTTATAGCAAAAAATCTCTAAAAGAAGAAATATTAATTTTATCATGTCTGTGTATCATCCCTTTGCCCATCAATGCATCCATCTCTCTCTCTCTCTCTCTCTCTCTCTCTTTTTTTTTAGGTTTTTGCCATAGGACACATGTGCTCACCAGAGACACATGTGCCTGGCAAGTCTAAGCTGCTGAGTCTGGGACTCGAACCGTGGTCGACTACATTGGAGTCCAACAATACAACCATTATACCATCTGCTGGTCCCCCCTCCAGAAAAAAATTTCAAAATATGACTAATGAAATGTAGGTGATGATATATGTTGCTCATTGGACAATTCTTTCAATCTTTCTGAAAGTTTAAACATTTGCACAAAAATGTTCTTTTCCAACAAATACCTGCATCTTTTTGACAGTGGAGGAAGGAAAAGAAATATATGCAACAAAGAAGAGAGTAGGGTGCATTTCTCCTACAGTCAGTCTTGTCTACTTATTCACATAGAAAGAAGAGGAACTATATATACTACATCTGAGATTAGAAGAGTTAAAGGGGATATGAAGAAAAGATCACAAATTGTTAAAACGTGTCATGGCTCACAGAAGCAGAGCTGGAAAAGCAAATCTAATGAGCTAACCTAAGCTCCTGAGCCCTGGCCCTTCGGAACATAGCTAAAGCTGATGACAAACTGAGAATAAGTCTCACCACCGCAGCCACCATCACAGAGCATAAATACTGTACAAGTATCTCAATTTTGCTTTCTGTCCTTAAAGGTGACGAGCTGGTTGAGAGCTCAGGGAAGATGTCAGAGTATGCAGATCTGGGAAGGTGAATCTCAGTTCTTGTCTCAGCTCCTCTTTTTTCATCAAGGACAGAATATCACAAGACCATCTTTGGCTCAAGACTTGGCCTCCCTCTTACACACATGTTCTATCCCAGGTGGGTTCTCAAGAGGTGCCTACTGGCATGAGGGTAGGGGTTACTGATATGGCTGTTCTTGCCAGTTTTCTTCCCTAAGACTGATCAGGAGCTGGTTAGTGTAGAGCAATCCCAGCCTGGGGAGAGCCCTTAGTCACAAAGCAAGCGTTGGGGATCTGTAGCACTTGAAGGACAAAAGGCTTCTTGCCAGTCTGACTACTGAAAATGGAGTAGCCCTAAGACGGTTATCCCCACCCTACCCCAGAGAGCGTCTCTTTCCCATTCTGATTCCTCTTTCCCAAAGGACCCCTTCCAAGTCGATTTCTAGAGTGAGAAACACCTCATGCTCTGAAGACAGGACCCCAACTCTTCGAGCCAAGTTTCCCAGCCTTTCTCTCCTCCGATCCCGACCGCACGCTCGGAACTCTGCCCCATCCGCACCCCCTCACACACTCCTTCAGATCTGGGTCCCAGCCTCACACACCCCTGCCTTATCCCAGATCAGCTTCTCCCAGTGCTGGGCTGTGAAGACCTCCACCCGTCAAAGAGGCACATGCCCAGTCCCAGAACAGGAGTCCCCCAGATCTTGAGTGCTAGGCACTTTGTCCCTCGAGACAGCGCGTTCTTCTCAGAGCTAGTCCTCCTAATCTTTTAAAGCTGGGACCACTCCTGGGCTCATCAGTGCCCCAGAGCCAGGTTTCTAACCTCATAGCCCTAATCCTGGGACTCAATGACCCCATTCGCAGCGTTAGTGACTTTGGCGCCTCGGCCACGACGGGCTCCATACCATGGTCGCTGCTCTGCGGCTGGCGGGCAGGCGCGTGGCCAGGAATAACGGCCCCCCGGACCTGGCGGCGCGGGGCGTGGCCTGGACCTAGCCCTGGGCGGGGGCGTGGCCTGGTCCTGGGCGGGACCTAGACCTGGGCGGGGCCTGGCCCTGGGCGGGGGCGGGGCCTAGCGCGCGCCGGGCGGTCTCCCGGGCGACGGCAGGTGAGCGGCGGGCGCAGATGGCGGAGCAGTGGGATCTGGACGAGGAGGGCATCCGCCGCCTGGGGGCGCTGACCCCTGTGGAGCAGCCGGGTAGGGCCAGGCCAGAAGAGCCTGGGCAGGGAGTGCGGTCAAGAGGCTGGAGGGAGAAAACTGAGGTGGAGGCAAAACCGAGGGTAGACCAGGCGGGGGAAGCGCGGAGGAGCGGTAAACCGAGGCAGAAGGGTCACGGAGGTGGAGGAACTGAAGTGCTGGGGGCGTCGGGGGCAGAGGGCGGGAATGGAGGGAGGAGGGGAGGCGAGGTAGAGGGCAGGAGAAACAAGCCTGCGGCGGGGACCCTGCGGGCCGGAGCGCAGAACCGGGCCGAGGAGAGAGGACGGGCCTCGCGGGAGGAAACTTGAGCCCTTGGCGCGACCGGGCGGGACACGGGAAGGGCTGAGCGGGGAAACTGCGCTGGGAGTGCCCTTAAGGGTGTACACGGGGCGTTAATTGTGGCAGTTGCGGAAACTTCCTACCCTCGAGGGCTTTTTCCAGGACGAGGTGAAATGGGACCAGGGCGCCCCGTTATCGTCCCCGGTCGTCCAGTCTCCACTTCAGGAACCTGGCCGTTTCTTTGGTCGATCTGGAGAGACCTTTTAAGAGACTTGGGGATCCAGCAGGTGGCGTGGTGGTTGAGGCGCTGGACTCCCACATGACCGTGGTTTGAGTACCAGATCTGGCGGCTTGCCTTCTCACTTTCCTCCTCTTTCTCTCTCTCTGGTGCGTGCGCATGACCTATAGCAAATTAAAAACAATAAGTCAAATAATTTTTAAACAGAGAAAGACCTGATGTGAAGGGACTAGCAGGTGATCTCTCAAGCTGCTTAGGTCAGTTCCTCAACCCTGACTTCATCCTAAGTTAAACAGCCCAGTGACAACTGACCCCTTAGACCTGGGGTCTAACTCATACAGCTTGTTTTTTGAGCGTCTAAGCCGTAAAAAAGTTGGAAAAACTACCAGCATCCCTAATTTGACTTTGTACCCTCCCTAAATTCACTGTGTTATTATTGCCAGGCATTCTAAATTATTTACCTGCACTGTTTAATCCTTATAGCAAGTTTATCAGACAGATGCTGTTATTATTTCAATTTTACAGATTGGTAAAATTAGGTTTAGACTCTTACCCAAAGTCACACAGCTGGTAAAGTGTTGCAGCTAAGGTTTATTAACCCTGATTCCAGAACCTGTGCTCTAGCCATATGAAAAAGTTGCCTTTCTTCTACTTTTCATTTGTGGGATTTGAAATAACTTGATTTTACTTGTAATTTTAATTAAAATTATTTATTTTTAAAAAATTATCAAAATTAGCGTATGCTGGGCTGGTCCCTTTGAGCATTAGTTAGGTGCACCACCGTCCCACAATTGTGGTTTAAATCCCCTCCTGAGGGCCAGCAGGTGGCCGTGGTTCAGGCATGAGACTCCCCATGGTGGACTACGACTCCTGTCCTGGACCCAGTGGTTTGAAAATGATGCCGGGTCTTCTTCAAGAAAACCACAAATGGATGACGCCTGTGCAGCGGCAGGGCCCTGGAGGTGGGGTGTGTGTCCTGAGATAGGAGGCGAGGGCTGCTCCCGTGCAGGGTTCAACAGCGGCCCCCATGGTTGGGGCCGGGGCTGGGCGTGCCGGTGGAACTCGTGGAGGCTGGGCCGAGGACATGGAGTGGATCCCTGTCATCAAGCTGGGCCGCCTGGGCAAAGACATGAAGTTCAAATCCCTGGAGATCTCTCTCTTCTCCGTGCCCATTAAGGAGTCTGAAATTAATGACTTTTTCCTGGAAGCCTCTCTCAAGGATGAGGTTCTGAAGATCCTACTTGTGCAGAAGCAGACTCCCGCTGGCCAGCAAGATGAGGTTCAAGGCACGTATTGCCATCGGGGACTACAATGGCATGTTGGTTTAGGTGTGAAGTGCTCCAAGGAGGTGGCCACTGCCATCCGAGGGGACATCATCCTGGCCAAACTCTCCATTGTCCCAGTACGAAGAGGCTACTGCGGGAGCAAGATCGGCGAGCCCCACACTGTCCCTTGCAAGGTGACTGGGCACCGTGGCTCTGTGCTGGTGTGCCTCATTCCTGCCCCCAGAGGCACTGGCATTGTCTCAGCCCCAGTGCCCAAGAAGTTGCTGCTGATGGCTGGCATCGATGACTGGTACACCTCAGCCTGGGCTGCACTGCCACCCTGGGCTGCACTGCCACCCTGGGCAACTTCACCAAGGCCACCTTTGATGCCATCTCCAAGACCTACAGCTTCCTGACCCCTGATCTCTGGAAAGAGACCGTGTTCATCAAGTCTCCCTATCAGGAATTCACTGACCATCTCGTCAAGACCCACACTAGAATCTCGGTGCAGAGGACCCAGGCTCCAGCTGTGGCCACAACATAGGGTTTTCATATAGCGAAAATAAAGTGAATTAAGCCTGAAAAAAAAGAAAAGAAAAGAAAAGAAAAAGAAAATTATGCTGGGCACATGTGTGTGTATGTGCCCAAAATCCAGGGAGGAGAATGGAGGACAAGGGATTGTAGTGTGGCCAGCCCCCCTCACTTTCTCTCTCTGTCTCTCTCTCCAGAGAGCATATACATCCTATGGCAAAAACAAACCAAACCAAAACAAAAATCCCTGTATGGGATTGAAAAATACATACATCCTGTATGACTTGAAAAATACACTGAGGACATGCACATGTGCCCTGGATCCTGACAGGATGGAGAAATGACGGAATAAAGAATTGCTACATGACCAGGCCTTGCCTGGCACTCCGTGGCTAGTTAGTGCATGCTAACAACAGTTAAATGAATAAGAGAGTAATAATTTTTATTTCCTCTCTTAAATCATTTCAGTTCCCCCACAGATAAGGAAAGATAACACTTTACTGTGTGTATAGATTAATGTAGATATTTGTATATATATACATGTATATACTTAAAACTACTTTGAATTCCCCCATTCTAAAAGTCAGTAAAGATAGGTGGTTGAGGATGTTGGGCTCCCACATGATTGACTGCAGTTCGAGTCCCGGACCTGGCACTTACTTTCTCTCTCTCATTCCCTCGCTCTGTCCCTCCTGTGGTCAGTCATGTGGGCATCCAGTGACAAATTAAAACAAAGAAATAAATTAAAACAAAGAAATTAAAATTAAAACAAAGAAATAAAGTTAAATAAAATTCTTTTGTAAAAAAAGTCAGCAAAGAAAAATCCTGTGCCTTCCTTACCAAAAAAAGAAGCATATTTATTCAACCTTATTCAAGAAAACACACACCCCTCTCATCCTCACATTCAACCAGAAGGTATAGCAAATTTCGTTTGTTTGTCTTTGTTTGCTTGTTTTTATTTCAGGCATTCAAATAACAAAAGTAATTATGCTTATTCTGACAATTTGTATAGTACAGAAGTGTCTAAAGTAAAAAAAAAAGTTCTGCTCTCTTTCTATTCTTTTTTGTTGCTTATATCCACATACAAATAGGTACCTTTTTCTAAAAAGACAAATATGGGGTCAGCAGGTGGCATAGTGGTTATGGCACTGGATGCCCACATGACTGACCACAGTTTGAGTCCTGGACCCGGTGACTTGAAACTCAGACCAGGTGTGTGTGCGTGTGTGCCCAAAGAGGATAATAGAGGAGAAGGGATTGTGGCATGGCCATTCCTCCTAGGGCGGGGGGTGATTTCACTTTTCCTCTCACCATCTCTCAATCTGCCTCTCTCTGGTGAGTGCATGCCCCCTATAGCAAGTAATAATAATATATTATTCAATAATTTATTAAAATTTAAAAAAGAATTGCTGGCGAGCATATGCATTCACCAGAGAGAGAGAGAGAGAGAGAGAATGCACCCCATTGGGGCTTGGTCATACCACAGGCTTTTCCTTCATTTCTCCTTCCTGTCAGAATTTTGGGCATGCACATGCATCAGCATGTTTTTTGAGCCACTGGGCTGGGATTTGAACCACAGTTGGCCATGTGGGATCTGTTTCCCTTACCTACTGCACTATAGGTCCAGCCCTCCTCTTTTTTTTTTTTTTTTTAACTTGCTAATAAAACACAGATTTTTTTCAATTAAATGAATGAGTTGGTATATACATTATAAAACTCTTCTGTAAAACTATTACAGTAGTTAGGACCAGCATACGGTATTAATTGTTACATCACTGGACTCCCACATGGCTGACAGTGGTTCAAGTCCCAGACCCAGTGGCTTGAAACTCACTCTGGATGCATGTGCATGCATGCCCAAACTCCTGAGAGGAGAATGGAGGAGAGGGGATTGCGGCATGGCCTTCCCTCCTGGGGGATGATTTCTCACTTTCTGTCTCTCTATCTGTCTCTGTCTTTCTGGTGAGTGCATGTGCCTTATAACAAAAATCTCTTTAAAAAAAAAAAGTATAGCAGTCATCTTTGGAAAGACAGGCTTTTACTTTATTTTGTGCTTCTCTGACTATTGGGATTTTCCAATCATGTAATAAGGGTTATTTTTTTTTTATATATGTACAAAAGCATAATCTGAGTGGTATAATTATGAACTTTTTTTGTTTTATTTCTCTGTATTAAAAAATTCCAGTAGGTGGTGTGGAGGGTAAGGCACTGGACCCCACATGGCCAGATGCACGGTTAGAGTTCTGGACCTGACAACTTGAAAGTCATCCTGGCACATGTGCATGGGTGCCCAAAATTCTGAGAGGAGAATGAGAAGAGATGGCAGTGTGACCATCCCCCTGGGGACTGATTTCTCACTTTCCTTCTTTCTCTGTCTCGCTCAGGCAAGTGCACATACCATATGCCAAAAATCTTTTTTAAAAATTAATAAAAATAAATAAAAGAATCAGTTTAGATATATTTGGTGTGTTCCATTCATTGCAGCTCTTATCATAATTGATGCTCAACATATCCCAACTTTGGCTAGCAAGAGATCTTTCAAGTTGTCGCCTAAGACTTTAAAAAAATCTGAAACTTTTTTATTGTTATAAACTTGCATTATTCAAGGTTATCAGTTTAATTTCCAAATGAGCTATACATGATTTTCTTTTCTTTTTTAAAAAAATTGTTTTATTGTGACCAGCAGA